AAACAGAGAATACTTGAGATCTATCTTTAAGAATATAAACCCAAGTTAAACGTGAATAATCATCAATAAATGACACAAAATAATGAGCACCAAATAAACCAGTAGTACGAGCTGGTCCCTAAACATCTGAATGTACTAACTCAAAAGGTTTTAAACTTTGTTTATCAAAACGAGACTTAAAAATAGCCCAACGATGTTTACTATGTTTGCAAGTAGTGCAATTAAACTTAGCAAAATCAACTAAAGAAGGAACCAAGGCTCGAAGATTATTTGAAGAGGGCTGTCCAAGGCGGCAATGCCACTGGTAAGCTTAAGAGGAAGTGGAATGTAGAGCTATCGGGCAGTAGTTGGTTGGAATTAGTAAAGACCATCCTTCTCAAACCCCCCCACCAATCGTCTTCTTCGTTTTGAGATCTTGAAAGACACAACGGGAAGGAGAAAAAGCATTGAGCAATTTAAATCTGATATGATTTTGCAAACTGGCAATAAATTGAATGAAACTTGAGGGATATATAAAACTGATGAAAAAGTGAGACCCAAAGTGCGGAAGGTACCCATTCCATGAACAGGTGATTTGGCACCATTCGCTATAGTAACAACCTATGGTGAGAAAACATGAGAAATATCAGAAAAAAGAGATGGATTACCTATCATGTGATCGGATGCCCCTGAATCAATGATCCAAGGAGTAGAAGAGGAAGCATGGAGACACATATTACCTAAAGTAACGATAGTAGCGGTGGAGGAGGGTTGATTTGCACGCTCACGCTTTACCAGAGAATCATATTCAGCTTTGGAGAAAACGACTTGTTCTTTCACAGGAGTGGGAGTAATCTCCTCCGAAACCAAAGCTTGATTAGCCCAAGCTGGCTTGCCATGAAGAGCCAGTTAACATAGTGATTGTTTCGGCCACAATGAGTACACTTCTTGCTGTCGCGACCCCCTCTGCCGCCACTAGTACCACGGCCTGGGTTGGAAGGACCTCTGCCCCCTCGTCCTCCACCGAAAGTATCATGTCGCTCAACAGGAACAACAAGAGCAGAGTGGATGTCCTTCTCAATCACAGTGGCATGAATAGATGCTCTTCGAGCTCGAGCAAAAGTCTCACTTGCCATGGGTATCTCCTTGCCAGACAAAATCTGTGAACTGATCGAAGCTAGTTCGGGTTTAAGTCCAGATAAAAATTTTGCCACCCGAAACTCCTCCCTGTGCTGTTTTTGTTGTTCTATGTTTTTTTTTTTTGATAAGTTTTTGTTGTTCTATGTTTGTAGTCAATGATTGGTAGACATTCAATCCTTCCCACACGCCCTTCAATTCTGAGTAATAATCTTCAACAGAACAATCTCCCTGCTGGAGATTAAAGATATCCTGGTACAATTGATAAATACGAGAAATATTTTTCTCTGAAGAATACATGTCCCTGAGATTTCCCAGATATCTTTGGAAGATTCTAGGAATGACACGTTGAAAATCTCAGGCTCCAAGCTATTCCATAACCAAGTCATAATCAGAGCATCTTCTTTCTCCCAAGCCTCAATAATCTTTTCATCACTGGTGGGTTTGGTTGATTTAAAATATGACAGTTTTCCTCAAGCCCGTGAGAACACCTCTATGGCTCGAGACCATTGAAGGTAGTTTGAGCCTTTCAGTTTGGTGCTAGTGATTGACCCAAGTAGATGCGATTCCTTAGTATCAGCCGAACAAATGAGATATAGTAGCAAGAGAGACCGAGATAAGAGAACCAAGATCTGGCCGAGATGAACCCGAGAGAAATTATCGAGGAGAGAGCCGAGGAGGGATCCGAGAGAGATTGCCGAGATGAGAACTGAGATCACCGAGGAGAGATTGTTGGGAGAAAGCCGAGATGGAATCAAGATCGGAGTCTGAATAAGACAAAAATTTAAAGAGGGATCGATTTCCGCTCTGATACCATGTTGAAAGAGAGAAAGAAAGAGAATATATGAAAACGTATATCTATTTGAGAGAGTAATACAATAATACAATGGTGTTTATATACGAGGAGCTATGGGAGTAGGTGAGTGGAGAACAAGTAAACCCTATACATGGTAATTCTATATATGGTAATGAGGGGTAGGTGACAACTCATACAATACTAACTGTTCACGTGTGACAACTCATACAATACTGTACAACATGTCAACTCATACAATATTGTACAACACCTTGCATATCGTAAAACTCCATCTTCTTGATCTGAAAATTCTTCAGCAACTTGCTGAAATCTTTCCACGTCAAAGTTTTAATTATTGTATGGGAAATCTGAAAATGTCATGGGAATGGTAAAAGCTGTAACTGATGTTTTGTGGGTAGTCTAAAAGTCAGTCTAGAGAACTAAAGTGTCATTAATAGTCTAATTACAAAAGGGACAGCCCTATGTATCTGCTGAACCAAGTCTTAATCAATATAATTTTGAATATTATCAGTTTATAAACAGTTAAAGGGAAATCTGGGAAAAGCCTGAAGAACTGTTTATAAACTTATCAAAAATATTCAAGATTATATTGATTAAGACTTGTTTCAGCAGATACATAGGGCTGGCCCTTTTATTATAAGACTATTAATGACACTTCAGTTCTCTAGACTGATTTTTATACTACCCACAGAGCATCAATGACAGCTTTTACCATTCCCATGACAGTTTCAGATTTCCCATACAATAATTAAAACTTTGACTAGACACTTTCCAAGGCTATTCCCCCCACCCCCCCCCCCCCCCCCCGCACGGAAGAAAACTCGTCCTCAAGTTTGAAGCAATTTACCACGATCTATTAAAAAACCAAATAAGGCCTTCCAACCTTTCTTTCTTCGTTTCCTTACTCGAACAAAGCTCAGCATTATTCTGTTGCTGCCAAAGAATATCTTTGAACGAACTTCCCGGGCACTCTCTTTAAATTTTGAAGATTTCCAAAACCTGCTTGACCATAAATCCGGATCCAAGGCAAGAATTAATCTGATTTTTCAATTGGAACAACACCTAACCATATGTCGCGCCAAGAATCCATTCCAAATTAAGTCATGAAAATGAAATCCATTATTTGTGAACTCCATGAATGAAGAAGCTTCATTTCTGATGAAATAATTCAATAAACTTAAATCTGATGTAATACCTACTATACCACATACCATCTGAAGTTCAATAGTCTTATCTTCAAAATCTCCACCTATTCGTCTGTCAACAAGCGTGAAGTCTGAAATTTCTGCAACTTTGGAATCAACTTGAAATATTTGCTTCAATTTTTTCAACGGGTCCCACTTTCTCACCACAAATTAACAATATGAAGATTGAATGATGACGGCTACTTTAGCTTCAGAGATGTTATTGGCTGCTTCTTCAAACTTCTCCTCTTCTGCCTTATTTTTTTCTTCATATTCCTCTTCATAGTTATCAAATTTCGGAAGCGAGAAAGTTGAAGTTTCTTCCAGCCTTTCACATTCTTCATCTTTCCATCCAGTGTATTCATCCCAAGCTGATTTGGAATTAGCAAAATCAACATGATTTCCATTGTCTTCCTCAAGCAAGAAGTATTTTGCATTGATCATGTGATATTGGACACTTGACAGATTTGCATCTCAGCTCCCTGTGTCTGTAGCACCAAAATTTAGACTCCTTGGTATCATTCACCATTGCTGTCCAAGTATTCTGTGACTGTATAACTGATTTGGTAGCACTCTGTTTTGCATTTCTCAACTGCATAAGACACTGCAGTCTCTCTTCAGCAGGCTGTCTTACCCAATTTTCACATTGATATGCATCCATTTGTTGCATTCGTCTCCCAATGTCTAGATTCAGAAAAGAAATGATTCCATTTTGTTCTAATATAGTGCTCAGTCGAGAAATTTGATGAGAAAGGTTTTGAACGTCAACTTTTGTGGCTATCTTGTTTCCTTGCCTAGCCATAGATCCTCAGTAATCACAGATCTTACTAGAAGGCTCTGATACCACTTGAAGCAAACAGAAGAAAGACAGAAGTCTTCTTACAACAGTAAGAAATACTAGAGTTACTCCGATCACCGTCGGAGCCTGATTTCTAAAGGGAAAGCTGGAAAAAGCCAGAAAGAGCTGTTTATAAACTGATAATATTCAAAATTATAATGATTAACAGTTGGTCCAGCAGATACATAGCGCTGTCCCTTTTATAATAGGACTATTAATGACACTTCAGTTATATAGACTGACTTTAAGACCACCCACAGAGCATCAATGACAGCTTTTACCATTTTCAGATTTCCCATACAATAATTAAAACTTTGATTAGACACTACCCAAGGCAATTAATTATTCTTTGCATCACTGGTTCCTTCAATTTCCACACTGGTATAAATTCATTTGCTGTCCCTGTTGTCTTTCAACGGTGTTTGGAGTAATTCTAGTATTCCTTACTACTGTAAGAAAACTTGTGTTTTCTTTTTGTTCCATTTGCTTCATAGATGCAACAATTTTTTCAAAAATAAATCGATTAACAGATATTTGATTTTAGCAAACAAAGGAGAAACAGACAAAAGAAATGTGTCTTATTAAAGCCAAATACTTGTTCAACAAAATTATGAAGCCCCCGATATTGCCTTTTGCTCTGAGAACACTTCAGTGCTATCGTTTCGAAGTTACATATTGACACATCAAATGCTCCTTATAATAAAAATAATTAGAAGAGATCCCTGGTACAGGGCCTCATTGACCCAAGATGCAACTCAAAGTCAGTTCATTTTGTTTTCTAACTTTTTACTTTAAGGTACTGGTTCTGCGTGTCCCATCGGCTAGCTAACTGTTAAGTTTGAGCTCAGCTCAGCTAGAAAACAAGTGGCCTAGACATTTATTAGCAAGTCAAGCTAGAGCAGAACTTTGTCAGCAGCTCTTGTTCAACAGTCTTAATAATGACATATTTTTAGAACAGGAGGCTTAACGTTTTACAAATAATATCTCCCCAAAAAATATATATATATAATAACATATAAAACCAAGTATAATTCTCAGAATGAACCTTCTCTGCTGCCTCCATAACTCTGACATGTTTAGACTCCGAAGCATTTTCAAAATCTCCTTCAGAAAAATATGTTAACTGTCCTTCAAAGTACCTATACACAATAAAATGGTTATTGCTGCCCTTCTAGAGATCCTTGAATATGTAAATAGCAACATGAGCCAAAGCTAAAGAATATATGTAAATACAATTAATAAACTGCTTTTTTAATGCATCAGAATACTTCATAATACGTCTATAAATGACAATATGTCTCATTGCTAGATGTCTGGATGAAATATTATCGATAGCATGTTAACATGCTTCACCAAATTTATATCATTGACAGGCTCAGCAACGTAATCATCTAACCATTCACGGACACTTCTAGGAGGAGTCTGTATCTGACACAATGTAGGATGTGACACCTCCAGCAGTCCTAGAAATATGTGAATAAAAAAACAGAGTTGATTGTGGATGCCACCTTTGGTTATTTTAAAGCAATTCCAGATAAAGCACCAGTGACTTTGTATTCAGTCAGAACCTAGGCAAATTGATTTTAGTGTGCAACTCAAGTACACATATAGACCCTAGAACAAATAGGGTGGGCAATTTATGTGCATAAATAATACTCTAGGTATCCGAAAGTGGGTTCCCTTTAATAGAGCTCTTTTGGGAAAGTGGTTGTGGAGATTCGGTAGGGAACGACATCGCCAATGGAGAAGATTTGTTTCGTGTCGTTTTGGGGAGGAGAGCGGTGGTTGGTCTTCCCGTCCAGTCTCTATCGCGGGAGGCGTTGGCGCGTGGAAATTCATTCCGAAAGGTTAGGATGTCTTCTCTTCTCATATCAGATTCAAGGTTCGCGATGGTAGATGCATCCAATTTTGGGAGGTTTTATGGTATGGAGATTAGCTGTTGTCTTGCTCCTTTCCTAGACTCTATAGTATAGCCGACGATAGACACGCCTATGTAGCTGACTATTATCGACTTGATAGCAGTGGGATTACATAGGATGTGCGCTTTAAGCATTCTTTTCAGGAGTGGGAGATGGATGAGGAATGTGCCCTTCTGAACATGTTATATCAGCAGGAGGCAATTGGTAAAGGTAGTGATGACATTTTGTGGGTTCCTTCCTCTGGAAGATTTGATGTTCGGTCCATGTTTCAATGCCTTTCCAACTTTGTTGGTCCTGTTTTCCCATGGAAGACTATACGGCGCTCCAAGGCTCCACTTAGAGTGGCATTTTTTGTTTGGACTGCCGTCTGGGGTAAGATCTTGATGCTAGACAATTTGAGGAAGAGAGGCAATACTATCGTTAATTGGTGTTGTCTATGCAAATGAGATGGTGAGTCTGTGGATCACATCCTTATGCAATGTCCTGTGGCGTACGATTGTTGGAACCTCATCTTCGGCTTATTTAACATGCATTGGGTAATGCCTCAGTCTTCCAAAGGTCTGATTAACGCGTGGAGAGGATGCCAAGTGAGAAGTCACGCTCGCGATTATTGGAGGATAGTTCCACACTGTGTTTGGTGGTGCATATGGAAAGAGAGGAATTACCGAATTTTCGAAGGAAAGGAATCGCCTTTGGCAACCTTGAAACTTCATATCCTTCGCTCTATTTTTTGTTATGCAAAAGGAAGCACTTGCTCCTCTACCGTTGACTTAGTTGATCTTTCAAACTCTACGGGTCCTTAACTTCCGTTTTTGTATTACGGACGCATTCCCCTTTTGAATGCTTTCCTAATCGATTATTACTTATAAAAAAATAATAATAATAATACTTCCTAATAAGGAAAGGGATATAATTCAAAGAAAGAAATATAACAAGGGAGTAATAGTATATATACGCTATATTATTTATCATATTCATTATAAACAATAGTGCAGGAAGAGGCACGAGTGTGCAACCATGTACACAAGCAAGAGGGAATAGGAACTAAACTCCTAGACACCTCATCTCCAGTAAAACTAACAAAAGAGTGAAAGAATCCAAAAATTACCCACATAACCGCCGCAGGGGGTGGGTGTACGCAGCATTATGTCCTCAAGTTTATGAACAATCAACACAATAATGTATGCATATTCCATTCCCTCCACACACACCGCCTAAGAAATAAATATGAAACCTGCCAAGCGAATTAAACCAATTGGGTGGGCGGCTCAAGAAGTCGTTGAATGCATCTTCTATTGCCCTCATCCCTAAGAAGGGTGGAGCGTCCGATTTGAAGGAATTTAGACCTTATTAGTTTAGTGAGATGTATTTATATAATAGTTAAAGTCCTTGCTCTAAGATTGAGGGATGTCTTGGACAGAGTCTTTTCAAAGTCCCAGAACGCGTTTATTGGCGGCCAGTAGATTTTGGATTGTGCTCTCATTGCCCGTGAGTGCGTGGATTCTAGGATGAGTAGTGGTGTCCCTCGAGTTCTTTGTAAGCTTGATATTGAGAAAGCTTATGACCATGTCAGCTGGAGCTTTTTGTTGTATCTGCTAGAGAGGTTGGGTTTTGGGGAGAGATGGAGAAGGTGGATTGAGACTTGTATTTCGTCCGTCAGATTTTTTGATTTGGTGAACGATCCTCGACCGGTTTTTTTGGCATCTCCCGGGGATTGAGACAGGATCCTCTTTCTCCGTTTTGGTTTATCATTGTGATGGAGGCCCTTGTCAGATTGATGAGGAGGGCGGTGGATCTGGGATTTATCAAAGGCTTCAAGATGAGTAGAGATGCAGCTCATCTGATGGAGTCGCAGATGATATGGATGTGTCCCATATGCGATATTTGAGGTGTGTTTTGGTTTGCTTTCAGGAAGTCTCTACCCTGAAAGTAAATGTGGGGAAGAGTACGCACCACCCTGTGGGGCAGTTTCAAGCTATTGATTCTCTTGTTGCGGTGCGGGTGTGGGGTCGTCTTTTTCCCTATCTCTTATTTGGGACTACTTTTGGGTGCTTCGTCGAGGAGGGTGGGAGGATGGAACCTTGTGATCGAGTGATTTGAGAGAAGACTGGCTGCGTGGAAGTAGTAGTATCTTTCGAAGGGTGAGAAGGTTACTCTTATGAATAGTACGTTGTTGAGTCTCCCTACATACTTTCTTTCTCGCTTTCAGATTCTGTCATCTATTGCTAAAAAAATTGAAAGTATCATATTGTCAGTTGGGTGGTTTAGGTATTAGGAGGTTGATCCCTTTCAATAGGGCTCTCCTAGGAAAGTGGTTGTGGAGATTCAGAGGCGAACAATGTTGGCTTTGGAGGAAGGTTGTTGCGCGCCAATTTGGGGAGGAGAGAGGTGGTTGACCCTCTAGTGCAGTCAAATTAGCTGGTGGCGTAGGTGTGTGGAAGTTCATTCGGAAGGGCTGTGATGAATTTTCGGAACACATCAGATTCCGAGCTTGGAATGGCAGGGATATTTCTAGAAGGATTTATGCTGTGATGATAGTCCATAGGCTTGCTCCTTTCCTAGGCTTTTTAGGATTGCGATTGATGGACATGCCTTGGTTTCCAACTATTATCGGCTTGAGAGCAATAGGATCATTTCCAGGATTGGGAGTTGGATGATGTTTATCGATTTATGGACCTGTTTTATAGACAATAGTTCGATGGTAGAGGCCCTGACTCCAATTTTTGGGTGCCCTCTCCTCTTGGGAGATTTTTGGTTTTTTCCTTCATTGTTCTATAGCCTTTCTGACTTCTATGGCTCTTATTTCCCTTGAAAGATGGTTTGGCGCTTGAAGGCTCCTCTTAAGAGTGGCTTTTTTTGTCTGGACTACAGTTTGAGGGAAGATTTTGAAAATGGATAACCTGAGAAGGAGAAGACAGGTTACTGTCAATTTGTGTTGCTTGTGTAAGAGGGATAGAAAGTATGTGGATCACCTTCTTTTGCATTGCTCCGTGGCTCGCGACATTTGGAGCCTTATTTTTGGTTTGTTCAATGTCCAGTGGGTTATGCCTCGGTCTTCGAGAGCTTTGATGGACACTTTGATAGGCTGTTTTGTGGGAGCCCACACATGATTTTTGGAGGGAGGCACCCTTTTGTGTTTGGTGGTGCATTTGGAAAGAGCGGAATAGAAGATCTTTCGACGGGAGTCACGGGAATCTTCCATTGGGTCTTTGAAATTTCATATTATTAGTTCTCTTTTTAGTTGGGGGATGGGAATAAAATGCAAATCTATAGAGGAGTTTGTTGATTTTTTGGGTTCCTTGGGTCCTGAGGACCTTCTTCTTTGGCTTCGGCCTTTGTGTAGCTTTCGAGATGCGTTCCTCTGTTGAACGCATTCTAATATATTCTAATTATTAAAAAAAAAAAGTATTATATGCAGCTTTCTAACACTTAGAAAAATACTTTAAAATCATCTTTTTGCATCTCCCAACTTATCCGTAGGTTCTTTTTTTTCCCTAAATGGCTTTGTGTATAAAGATAAAACAATAAAGTACAGGATTATAGTGAAGGCATACCCCAACTGTACATCAGGATAACCTTAAGCGGATGAAGCAGATTGTGGTCAATTGATGTTGCATGTGTAAGAATGACAAGGAAACGATTGATCACCTTCTTTTGCATTGCCCTATGGCTCGGGATTGATGGATTTTGTTGTTGGGATTGTTTGGGGTTCAATGGGTTATGCCTAGTTCCTCCAGAGAATTGGTTGAGGCTTCGAGAGGTTGTATAGTGGGGCCCAAGTTTGTGATCTCTGGAGGGTTACGCCTTTATGGGCGGTGTTTATGGCTTGAAAGAAATAAGAGACCCTTTGAAGGAAAGGATAATCCTATTGGTAGTTAGAAGTTCTCCATTATTAGTACTCTTTTTTGTTGGGTTCTAGGGAAAAATTATGAATCCATACGCTTGTTGATTTTTTGGACTCTTTGGTATAGAGGCCCTATTTCGCCTTGTGTAGCTATGGAGGGGTGCATTCCCCGTTTGAACGTCTTTTAGCAAATTTTAGCAGAGTCTCCAACTTCCTTAACAAATTTAACCACCAAACATGATCGCAAATCATCTCCGCATCTCCCAACAGAATCGTCGTCCAAGTAGATCGAGGGACCTCTAGGAGGCTTTGCACTCTTGATGGTGTCTCTCTCAAAGATTCGTGGCATTCTGGCTACTTCAAGGAATGACTTCATAAGAAAAAGAAAGAGGAAAGGACAAACGGATCAGAGAATGTCACTCGAGTATAAGACTCCGGCGCCTGAAGATGAAAGAGAGAGAAGAGAGCATTCATCAACAAAGGTTTTCAAGCACTATAACTAGACACACAACACATGTTCCCAGCGTAGCTGATACTCCTAGCCATTTATTACCAGTAAAGTTGGGACTCACTGATAGGATCAAATATTCAAATTTGCAAGGCACGTGAATAAAATTATAACACGAATGGTGCTTAGACCTTCAAAAGTTGAAAACCAATCTTACTCAGCCGGCTGACCACCACAAAAACCAATAAGAATAAGAATCATCTACATTCTTTTTCCTCTAAAGTAACCCGAATACAAAACAAGGGCCAGAAATTGACTTTCCTACTTGTGCTTTCTTCTTTGTGTGCATTGTCAAATAAGTTCAAGTTGTCAACACTTCAATCTAATGAAGTCCTCATATTTTAGCTGGTGGCTTTATAGAATGATAAAAATATAATTTCCAGCAAGGAACCAGAACATATTATTAAAAGAAGGGAGAGCATAAGGCTGAGTAATCCTTTAGAACCAAGTGAGAGGAAAGAGAAGCCGAATGAAAGATGCGCTTACCTTGTCAAAAGTTCAACTGCAGTCGAACCATATCCAAGCTGCACCCAAAAAAGGAACTTATTTATTTTTTATGAATATCAATGTAATAAACTCAATTTCATATTCACATAAGAGAGATTACCCTCATTGCACTTGGATGGGTGGCAATCCGTACAATGCGAGCACCTGAAAGTTCTGGAAAATTTTTATCTGTAAATTGTTCACAGAATTTCCATGGTATTTGGTCTCCAGAGGGTCGATGACCATCACTTAAACTTTTGATAGCAGATTCACGAGAAATCTGCCCTTCAAAACAGACCTGTAAATAAGATGATGGAATATATGATTTCAAGCATTAAAAAAATAAATACTTTCTGTGAGAATATGATGTAGGAGAATGAAAATAATAGAAACATAAAACATCAATAATTATTAAAAAATTAAAAAGGGACTGCAACAAAAGAAAAGAAAAATGCACAAAACTTTGAATAAGACTTTACTGTGGTACAAACAAGTAAGATTAACTCAAAGAACTCCCTACAAGTGAGTGTTACTGGCTACTAGATTAAATAGAAAAATAAGGCTCAAATGAGTAGGGCAACCAGACCAGGATGTTAGTGAGTTTTATTATTTCTTTTATGCATTAAGGGTTCCTCAATGATATGAAAAAGTAGGTGTGGAAAACCGTTAAGAAACCCTCATCCTTTACAGAATTTCTCTTCTTCCTCTTCAACTCTATCTTTACAAACACAAAATCCTTCAGCCTCAAATTGGTATCAGAGCCTCCGATCAAAGTTCATAACTCATCCAAATACTGAACAGAGAATCAGGAGCAGAGAGAGTAGGATTGACGCAAGTGTCCATCCGCCAACATCATGATCATGGTGACGTCAGCATGTGTGGTTGAGATGCTCGAAAATCATGTGGGCTTAATCTTCTAAATTTTATGGTAATTATGGCGATTTTTGTATAATTTATGTAGCCAATTGCTTGGTCTTTCCAATTTTTTTTTTTTTTTTTTTTTTTTATGTGTTTTTCAGCCCAAAAATTTTCTATCTGAATTTTAGGGCATTTTTTTTGTTTCGGTTGGTTGGAATCCATCCCAAATGGTGCGCCTAGACTGGAAAGGAACCTGATTGTTGTTTGTTGGATTATTCATGGAAGTGGGATCTAGTCTTTGGCTCAATGTGGGTTTGCCCAGTCAGCTTTTCGGTGTTCTTGCAGCTCCTGAAATTGGATTTGATCCATTGTTGCTTTTGAAATCTATTTTCGATGCTTGGGCCTTCGAGTTTTGCATTTAACTAGGCATTTAAATCCAATTTCTGCATGTGAATACTGTAAAACAATTCCCAATTTGTGTTTCGGTTTCAAATTTCTGCAAACAGAATCACATTATGTTCTCTTTTTTATTCTTCTTGCTTCTAGTTCCTTTCTATTGGTTTCAATCCTACCAATGGCTGACGAAAAACCACACACCTCAAAGATGATATGCAGGGCGAAGGAAACTTTAGTATTAGACTGAAGATTCCACCTCTAACAAGTAGGGTTGAGAATATGACGACTGGATGCGTGAGGAGATTATTGTTATTGAATGATTATGGCATTATATGAAACCCCATATTACCACTACAGTTAAATTTTGTGATTCCTCGAAGAAGATTTGGGACTCCCATGCAGAGTCGTTTTCACACCAGAGTAATGTTTCTCCGAGTTTACGAGTTGTATGAGAAAATTTTTACTACTAAGAAATCTGGAAAACCTTTGTCTTGAGTAATACAGAAAACTAAAATATTTATGTTATCAGTTACTGCAACATCAGACGATTACTGCTGATTTGGAACAACAAAATTGTCATTGGGAGGAGTTTATGACTGCTTCATTTCTACCCAATTTAGACTCCAATATTCATGGCTTCAAGGATCATATTCTCACTTGCGGAAAGTTACCTACAACTACCAATGCTTATTCTTGACTACTGAGGTCATCTATGGGACGGAACTCCACTGTGACACCTATAGTGTCTTCTGCCCTAGTCTCTAGAAGTGGAGGTGGTCATGGTAGCATTCATGGTGGATCTCATGGTAGTCGTGATGGTCGTGGTTTTCATGGCAGTGGCCATACTAGTGGACGTAGTGACAAGAAGTGTAATTATTGTGGTGGACAAATCACACTGAACCTTATTGTTGGGTGAAATATGGTAAACTAGATTATGCGCATCAAGCTATCGATGGGACTGCACAGCCACAACAGCCTCGTACTACATCTAGACATGTAGTTTCTTATTTTGGTTCTCATGATGCACTCAATCTCAGCTTAGCGAGCTTCTTCAGATATTGCAAACTACTATTCTGTCCACTTCAACCATTACCTTAGCCAATTCAGGTAATATTGCATGTGAGGCAATCCTCTGCATCCTTGGTCTTTCTGTCCTAAGCTAGTTCAGATATGTTTGGTATATCATCTCTCTTTTCTGGTTTAAAACCTTCTTATTGTTTAGCTGATGGTTCTTCTCATCTTGTTCTTGGCAAAGGTGTCCTCCCTACCAATTCGTTATCATTGTCTTATGTTGAAAGATATATTGTACTTAAAGGTGTCTTTCTCTTCTCCCTACCAATTCGTCATCATTGTCTTCTGTTGAAAGATATAAAAATTGAAGAGAGAAATTAAACATGAAGAACACAAGGAAAGACACACAACAATTGCTGAACTAGAGGCTTACAACAGTGGGAGCAATATATGTAGAGCTCTGATGAAGAGTACTCTCTCGAGTCTACCTACTTATTTCCTCTCTCTTTCAGATTCCCTCCTGTGGCTCAGCGCTGCAGCAGAATTTCCTTTGGGGTGGTATGGGGGAGGAGTTCAAGTATCATCTTGTAGATAGGAGCAGGTTTGTTCTCCAATTTAAGTGGGAGGTATAGCTATCAGAAGACTGGTGCCTTTTAATAAGGCCCTTTTGGGGAAGTGGTTATGAAGATTTGGAGTGCAGAGGCACACACTCTGGAGAATGGTGATTGTGAGCCGATTTAGGGAGACAAATGGAGGATGGTACTCTTTTGAGGGGAGATTCCCAAGTGGAATTGGGGATTGAAAATCCATTCGAAAAGTGTAGAAGGAATTCTCTGAACAAATTAGATTTCGAGCCGGGGATCGTACATGAATTCATTTTTGGGAGGATATTCGGTGTGGTAACCACTCGCTTGCTCCCATTTTTCCCAGACTCTTCAGGATTGCCACAGATAGATGCCTTGGTCAACGGTTTAGGATGTGTGTTTCTGAGGCATTTTGCAAGATTGGGAGATTGAGGGCGCCATTGGTTTTATGGAGTTGTTGTACTGCCAGGAGATCGTGGGAGATGCTTCTGAATCTTGATTGTGGGTTCCCTCTCCGTAGGGGCGCTTTGATGTTAAGTCACTTTACAGCTGTCTTACGGATGACCTAAAGGACCCCTTCCTGTGGAGGGCTATTTGGCGCTCGAAGGCCACACTCGAAGTGGCTTTCTTTGCTTGGACATCCATCATGGAGAAGATCTTGACTCAAGATAATCTGAAGAGGAGACAGGTTGTGATCAATTGGTGTTTCATGTGTATGAATGATGAGGAAACAATTGATCACCTTCTTTTGCATTGTCCAATGGCTCATGATTGCTGGATTTTGTTGTTGGGTTTGTTCAGTGGGTTATGCCCAGGTCATCAAGAGGCTTGGAGAGGTTGTATAGTGGGGGCCCAAGTGCGTGATTTTTGGAGGGTTGCACCAGTGTGCAGTCTGGTGGTCTTTATGGCCTGAAAGAAATAGGAGATCCTTCAAAGGAAAGGAGACTCCTATTGGGACGTTGAAGTTCTCCATTATTAGCACCCTTTTTTGTTGAGTCCTAGGGAGAAATTGTAAATCCTTGGAGGAGATTATAGATTTTCTGAATTCTTTGAGAGTTTAGAAGCCCAATTTGGCCTTGTGTAGTTTTTGAGGGATGCGTTCCCCTGTTGAACGTCTTTTTTAATGCAAAAATTACTTATAAAAAAATGATACTTCAAAAACAATTCATATCAGCGGACATAACGGCATAAAGAAGATATCAGTTAAGGGTGAAGAACTCAATCCAGAAAATTGTGGATAGCCAAAAGAAAGAGTTTCGGACATCTCAAATCATGATAAAAAAGCAGATGACCAATATATTGGAAACTGATTAATAAAATAAAACATCTTTCTTTATGTGCAGAAGGGGGGGAAAAGTGAGATGCATGTCTGTGTACAAAACAAAAAGAAAGAAAGAGTGAAAAAGAAGCAGCAGCAAACCTGGATGACACACAAAATATCAGGAAGGTGGTTTTTCGACTCATCAACAGGACCTACATACAGTAAAGTAAGTAGAAGTCTAATAGCAGGAAGGCAACTAGAAGAGGCATAATGGAGAACAAAATTTACCAAGTAACACAAACAAGTGATGGGCAGGAGCATCAGCCAATAATTGTAGATCATTTGGAGAATTCTTATAGTGAGAAGCAACATATAGTGCCATCATTCGCTGCAAGTATTAGAATACGTACACATCAAACATCTGTTGAGAAAAGAAATAGAAACCAAGATCAAAGAAATTTGTAGTTACCTGCAAAAATAACTCACTGTCTTTGTGATATGAGAAAAGTGTGTCCCGGTTAACATAGTAGAGATCACACTCACTGGGTGGAGGTAACCTAATTGACAAGAGAGAGAACTTCAACAGAGACAAAGAAGATGTTTTCATTTCCCATTGCCTTGAACAACTAAATTCTAACCTGCTGATATTAGGGATGGAATTTGCAACATCCAAACAAAGTAAAGCATGAAGCCAGGATTCAATTGGATCACCAGAAGCATATCTTATAGATTCGCTCAACTCTATCTTCTTGAAAAGCCGACCTGCATTTGGAGCAAATTGCAATCTGATTTAATTTCCCAAACAAGTAAACTAATGAATAAATTTTATATTTGTTTACCAGCAAGATCCAAAAATATCCAAGAATTTTGAATCATGGCAGGAGTCCAGAGCGTGCTATGAACAGAATGTCACATTTACACTCAAAAGAAAAAAGTCCTAACATGGTTTTGAATGAAATGACATGGGCCTAATTGCAACCAAATCATTTTTCAGTTAACATACGAATTCCAAATGTCATGTTGACAAACTTGAGTATCATTTTACTTATTTTTAATTCAGGAGAGATGAACTTATGCAAAGAAAAAATAACCCGTTAAACAATAAGATATGATTGCGGAAGCAGCAAAAATTTAAAAGGGATCAGTGGCATAAAAATCAGATACACATCTCATTCCAGAATGACAGAAAGAGCAGCCCTTCCCCTAATGGAATGCTAGTTGGAACCCATGCAATCTAGGTGGATATCTAGGCATCTAAATCCTATAAGAACTCAAGTCTAAAACCAGTCCGTATATATAAAAAATGGGCATTGATATGAAAGTATGATTATCAAGAAGCTCAACAACATAAATGGAGTTACCTGATTCACATCACAGATAATCTAGACCAAGAAAACCATGAGTTTTGGACAATCAGGCTTTTGTAAATTGACAAGTGTAATAAGTTCTAGCACATGTAAACAGCCATTAAAAGATAATCAGGCACAACCCATGCTGAATTGCTTTCAGCTTAATAAAACAGTAACCTTACAGAAGTCTGCAACTATGATATTGGTTCATAGATCTGAAAGATGTGAAAGAAGCTGAGAAATACCAGAAAGGGGATTTTGTAAATTGACAAGTTTAATAAGTTCTAGCACATGTAAACTGCCATTAAAAGATAAATCAGGCACAACCCATGCTGAATTGCTTTCAGCTTAATAAAACAGTAAGCTTACAGAAGTCTGCAACTATGATATTGGTTCATAGATCTCAAAGATGTGAAAGAAGCTGAGAAATACCAGAAAGAGAGCTCTCTGCACTCTTAGCAGACATCTGACTTTGCTCTTCCAATTGCTGCAGAAGCTTTAGTGATAAAGACCGACCTGTACCTTCATAGCTTTGAGTAAACAAAGAGCACATCATTAGCAACAATCCTCAATATTAACCTCCAGAAGTGGAAAAGAACTTTTCATGCTTAGATTTTTAATGATCAACATTTGACATTGCAAGGGAAGAAACATAAGAGTTGATTTAGGAAATTCTTGTTCTCTCATTCAGTACTCATGACATGATCTGATCAAAACTTAAATCAGATCCATACCCATTAACAGTGGATGATAGGAAGACCAGATAAGGGCCAAGCAAGGACTTCACAACCGGTAACGGGATAGCTGCTGCTTCATCAACAACTAACAGTTCAACTTGGGAAAGCTTTTCGTGTTCATGTGGTTGTATATACTGCCAGGACACATAAGAAGAAGTCAATAACAGACATATCATCAGTTAAGGAATATAAGAAGAAAATTCAGATGCCAAAAAGTATACCTACAGCCTCAACTAACATTAAAGTGATCAGTCAGTCAATCTAGCATTTCAATAATTAACTTATAGACTCCAAACCAAAAAAGAATTCCAAGAATTCATTCATACAAAAAATTCGTAGCACAAAATTACAATTTTTTTTTTTTTTTTTTTTTTTTTTATAAGTGAAAGTGTATAAGAAAGCGTTCAAAAGGGGAACGCGTCCCAAGACCTATACAAATACCGAAACCAAAAAAAGAGTCCAATAGACCCAACGAGTCCACAATTTTATCTAAAGATATACAATTTCTCCCCATCACCCAACTAAAAAGAGAACTAATAATAGAAAACTTCAACGCCCCAATGGAGGATTCCTCCCCACCAAAAGATAGATTCCACTTTTTCCAAAGACTCCACCAAACACAAAGGGGCGTCGCCCAAGAGTCACAAGCATGAACCCCCACCTTGTGGCCCCTCCAAACGTCAATCAAATAGGAGTCTCATCTCCCTTAGCAGATCTCCTATTTCTTTCACGCCACAACATAGTTGTCAAAAGCGCCGAAGGCGCGTGCCCGAGGCGCAAGTCCTGCGCCTTTGTATGCATAAGGCGATGCCCTTTGAACAGGCGTGCGCCTTTACATAAGAGGCGAGAGGCCCCGGGCGTAAAAAAGGCGCGCCTCCTTTAATTTGTTAGTATTTTGTTATTAGTTTATTATTTGCTGTTTGTGTATTATTTATTATTTGTTTATTATACTTTTTAGACAACTTTACTAAAAGAAAAGAATAAATAAAAGCAAAAGGAAAGTGCCAAAGTGAAGTGAGTCGGCTAGGGCTGAGAAACTTTGAAGCAAAAAGAAAGACAAAGGCTTGCGATTTGAAGGCTTGAAGCAAAGACACGATCTGAATCTGCCGACTTTCTCTCACGAATCACAATCCGAATCCAGGTAAGTTACTGTTCTCTCCTTCTTCTCTCTTCTTTTCTCTCTCTTCGGCAGATTCTTCTCTCTTCTTCTGCAGATTCTTCTATCTTTTTTTCTCTCTTCTTCTTCTTCTTCTTCTCTCTTTTTTTCTTCTCTCTTTTTTTCTCTCTTCTTCGGCAGATTATTCTTCTTCTTCTTCTGCAGATTCTTCTTCTTCTTCTTCTGCAAATTCTTCTTCTTCTTCTTCTTCTTCTTCTTCTTCTTCTTCTTCTTCTCTCTTTTTTCTCTTTTTTTCTTCTCTCTTTTTTTCTCCTCTTTTTTTCTTCTCTCTTTTTTTCTCTTCTTCGGCAGATTCTTCTCTCTTCTTCAGCAGATTCTTCTTCTTCTTCTTCTTTATAGCAAACTTTCTCTGTGCACAGTTTTTTTTTTTTTTTTTTATTATGAAATATGTGTCTTCTTTTCTTTTCTCTTTTGAACTGAACTGTAAGTTTGGAACTGGACTGCAGCTCTGTGTCTTCTTTTCCCTCTTTTTTTTTTTTTTTTAATGAATTGAACTGGAAGTTTGGAACTGGACTGCAACTCTGTGTCTTCTTTTCTTTTTTTATGAACTGAACTGGAAGTTTGGAACTGGACTGCAGCTCTGTATTTTTTTTTTTTAATTGAAATGTTAATATTGCTTTGAAATTGAAATCTGGTTTTGCTAATTGACATGAAATCTGGTTTTGCTAATTGAAATCTAGTTTATTTTGTTACAACACCAATAATTGACATGAATTTATTTTATTATCTTGAATTTGAATGTAGTTTGTACTTTAAAAGATGCCTAGTATTTTATTGTCTATGTTTGTTTTAGTTTTATCTCATAATTCTAATTAGTTGACTTTTGCATCTTTATATTATTATGTTTAATTATTTACTGTTGAACTCAAGTACTTGATTTAGTTGGCTTTGGCATCTTTATGTTGAATATTCAACTTAAGTAATTGATTTAGTTGACTTTTGCATCTTTATATATAGGTTTTTTTTTTTTTTTTTCAACGTGCGCCTTGCTTCAGTCGGGCATGCGCCTCGCCTTGCGCCTTAGGCTCCAGGAGGCCTTTGCGCTTTTGTGCGCCTTGAGCCTTTAACAACTATGCGCCACAAACCCCACCATAAACAAAGGGGAGTGGCCCTCCAAACAAAACCTTGGATTGGCTCTCTACAAGACACCCTTTCCAAGCCTCAATCGTATCAAAGTAGTTCTTAGGAACACCAAAGGCATGCCAAAAGCGACCAAAATCATAGACCAAACATCCCTCACCACCGTGCAGTGGAGAAGGAGGTAATTAATTTTTTCCACTGTCTTCTTGCACATACAACACCAGTTAACCACGATCAAATGCTATCGAGGACAACACACCAAGCAAAGAAAGCCACCTTCAATGGGGCTTTCGATCTCCAAATTGCCTTCCAAGGGAAAGGACCACCTAGGATCACCATCATGCTATGGTAGAACGCCCTAACCTTAAAACACCCGTCTTGGCATGCCTACCCAAACCATCTTGTCCATTCCTACACCCTCCACCACTTGACTGTAGGACAAGGCCAAGAACTCATCAACCTCTGCAAGCTCCCAATCATGAAACTCTCTACGAAACTGCACATCCCAAGTTAACCTCCTGTTATCAAGACGATAATTGTCGGCAACCAGAGCATATCTAGTTGAAGAGATCCTAAACCGAGGGAACCTATGAACTAGAACATAATCTCCCCACCACCAGTCCTCCCAAACCTAACGTGGCTCCCGCTCCGAACCCTTAATCAAATACGTTTAGAAAACTAATCCCACCCCTTCTAAATAAGCTTCCAAACGCCCATGCCTGCTGGAAATCTCACTTCCCTGGATAACCACCCACCATCATCCTCTCCACACCGGCATGCAATAACCCTCCTCCAAAGACGGCTCCTCTCCCTCCCAAACCTCCAAAGCCATTTGTCCAACGCCGCCTTGTTAAACAAATCCAATTTCCTAATGCCCAGAAGGGGGGCACACTTTCTCTCAGTTCACCAAGTGATACTTGAACTCATCCCCAATACCACCCCATAAAAAATTTCCTTTGAATCTCTTCTAACCTTCGAATGACAGACTTCGGCATAGGAAAAAGAGACATGAAGTAGGTTGGAAGGTTTGAAAGAGTACTTTTCAACAAAGTAATCTCACACCCTTTTGAGAGAGAGAGATTCTTCAACCCTGTGATTCGCCTCTCAAACCGCTCAATCAGAGGGACTGGCACTTTGTCACCATTACAACACTTCAGCGCCTCTAACACCTCCTCCTCCCCAAATAGCCTCTCAAGCCAGTAACTGTCATCAATAGAAATCTCGGAGAACTCCAGCCCATCAAGAAGCAGTCTCCGTAAAAAGCTTCTGGTAGAAAGACACAAATCCAGTCTGAATATCCTCATCCCTTGACATCATAGTCCCATCAAAACGAATCCTCCCAATAAAATTTCCTCACTCATGCGCATTTGCCAGACGATGAAAGAATTTCGAATTCCAATCACCTTCTTTCAACCACAATGCTTTACACTTCTGTCTCCACGAAATCTCCTCCATAACACTAATCTCACCAAACTCGACCTTGCATTCCTCCCTCCAGTTTGCCTCCAGCTCACTAAGGCCTCCCTCTCCCTCCTTGTCCAACTCTGAAATTTCAAGAACTCTATTTTTGCGCCATTCCAAATTGCCAAACACATCCTTATTCCATGATTTAATCACCTTTCAACAATCTAAGCTTGGTTGCTAAAATGAAGCTCAGGCTGCCCCCAACCACATAATGATTCCACCAACAGCGAATACTATCTTTGAAGTCCTCCACCCGAAGCCACATATTCTTACCCCTCCAAAGTCAAGGAGTAATGGCATATGATCCGAAATCGCACAAGCCAACACCACTTGAGACACATTTGGAACTTCTCTTCAAACTCACCTAAAATCAAGAACCTGTCCAAGCGAGGCATAGTCAGGGAATCTTGACCACTAGACCATGTGAACTGACTACTCTCCATCGGAAGGTCAAAGAGATGGTGAGAGCCGATGAAATCTGAGAACTAAGTCATTACCGAGGTCCATCTACTCCTAGCAAACAACAGCTCCTCCCACAACCCCCTCCCCTCCATATCCTCCACTGGCCCATAAACCCCCAAAAACACCCAATGAGAATCATCTTCCTCCAAAGTCCAGAAAGAACAAAAGAGAGATAGAAGACCTCCCTTTCCACACGTCAACCTTCAAAACCCACCTCTTGTCCCATAGATCCACAATTCCCCCCATCCCCCCTCAGTCCCCTTGGCATCAAACACCTCCCAATTCACAAATCTGCCCCCCAAAGGCTTTTCAACACTTCATCCGTTGAGCGTTCCAGCTTGGATTCTTGTACGCGCACAAGCTGCACCCTCCACTTTCGAATCAAAGCCTTTACCACCTTCCTATTGTCTAGGTCATTCAAGCCCCGGACATTCTAAGACATAATTTTGAGCTTCATAGACACAAAATGTATTTCCCTCCTCCCACCCTTCTTCTTCTCACTCCCTCCTCCACTCCTCCCCTCATCGTTAACATAGGAAATTAAATTTCTAAGCTCCCTCTCACCCTTTCAGTAAGAACCTTTCTTATTTTTCACCAACGCCCACTCATCATCAACATCTTGAAACATCCAGTGAACCATATCATTATCATCCCCTGCACATGAAAGGCCCAACAAGCTACCCACCCCTTCAATACAGTCCATGAACCACTCCCCATCAGATCCACCCAATGAGGGCCTCTCTGCATCTCCTCAACCACAACCAATGGAAAGTCGATCCCTGCAGTTTCACTGTTCTCCCGTACTGGTGGAAGAATTTCAGAGTCCCGACATACTTAGAAATAGACAGAAGGTAATCTTCACTGGTCTGCAAATCATCCATCTCCCCAGCATCATTAGGAAGGGCACCTCTGCCCTCACAAGCACCACCAACCCAACTGACTCATCAACCC